TACTAGCGCACACGTCCTTTTCAATAAAGACAGTTGAGCCCTCCAACGTTGTTCCAAGTACACTTCCTTGCGGGACACCTGCATTTATATCATAGATATCGTATGTTTCATCTTGTATGTTAACAAAGAAATGTCTATGGCTTAGGTTTGATCTAAGGAATGGTAAAACGGCATTGGTATCAGTGTTTTTAATTTGAACAGAAGTCCGGTGTGGCACACCCTATCGAACGCCTGTTGTATGTCCAAAAAGACTGCGGAACAATATTTTCTGTCTTCCAAGCTGCTTAAAATAGTTCTAACGACACGGGGGCATTGTTCCGGTGTCCCATGCATGTGTCTGAAACCAAACTGGTGGTCAGGAATTATAGATAGTGATTCCAGCACTGGCAATAATCTTCGAAGAAATATTCTCTAGTATTTTCAAGAATACTGTCAACAGGCTTATTGGTCTATAAGAAGTTAATTCATTCTAATGCTTATTGGGCTTGGGCATCATTGTGATTTGAGAGCACTTCCACTATGTGGGAAAATGGCTCAACCTAACTACAAATCTAGGAGCCAAATATAGTGCGTTCTTAATTTTTCTCTCTGACGTCAGTATTTTTTTTAAAGGACTTTGAAATTTCCAGGATATGATTGAATAAAAAAATGATTTAAAAGATTTGGTGCATTGTAGAGCAATAATATGGATATCAGTTATAAGGAAAAATTCTATAGAATTAAAAAAAAAATTAATTTTTTGTTGCACCAGGACGAATAAATGTTGAAAATGTCCTTTTTAAAACTTTATCGTTAAATATCCTTGGAAATTTCCAATATTTATTTTTAAAAAAATATATGTCAAGGACTAATATGTAAACTACCACATCCTTGAATTTCGTCCTTCTAACTTTATTAGTTTTAGATAAAAAAAATGGACACTTCTCTTTATAAGATATTGATAGTTACAATATACATAAATGAAGGTACTAGAATCATTACACTGTACAGCACTCCGCTGGGTATTGGACCAAATCAATTTTTTTTAAGAGATTGAGCCATAGGTAAAAAAGTAATTTCTCCGTTTTTCGAAGTTAGATAGAAATCGAGATATGGGCTTTCGAAGATGGAAATAGGATCTTTGGTATATAAAAAATTATTTTTTATTATTATATGTAAATAAAGAAAAAACTAAAAATACAGTCGTAGACCGACCGCCTTTTGCTCTTATTTAAATGTTTATAACTTTTGTTTTGCAAAGTTATATTACATGTTCTATAAGCGGGCAAAGGTCGGGTCTTCGAAAAATTAAAAACCTTATATTTCAAACAATTTTGAACTGATTTTTAAAAAGTTGGTATCGTTTTAAACGTGATTTGGCCCCCTTCTTCTCTTATGATATGCCTATTTGTATACTTTGCGTGTAAAAATTTTAGAAAAAATATTTAAAAGGAAAAAATTAGTTTTTTTTATAAAAAAAATGTTTTAAACAAAAAAATTACTAATCGATTTATAAAAAGTTGATATCGTTGTAAACGCAATTAAACCTTTTTTCTGATATGCGTATCTGTATACTTCCTTTATAAAAATTTGAGAAAAAACACTTAAAATTAAAAAATACCTTTTTTATAAAAAAAATTAACAAAAAATTAAATTAAATACCCTTTATTCTGGTATGCATATTTGAATACTTTGTATATAAAAATTTGAGAAACAACACTTTTCTTTAAAAAAATACAAACCGATTTTTAAAAAATTGGTATCGTTGTAAAGGACGCCAGAAAACTTATACTTTCTTAATCCCAAAAATTTCGATTTATATACACAAAGAAAAAAATGTATTAAAACATGTATTAAAACATTTTTTCCCTCTATATAAACTCCTTCCCCCTAGGTGAAAGGCTGGCTACGCCCTTGTATACAAAAAAATTAAAGTATTTAAACCATACATCATACGCTCAGTTTGTTCTTTTAGAGCGCATACATGGTTCCAAAATAACGATTCCAGTATCTTCCAGTATATTGTAACTATCAATATCTTATAAAGAGAAGTGTAAAATTTTGTTTATCTAAAACTAATAAAGTTAGAAGGACGAAATTCGAGGATGTGGTAGTTAACATATTAATAATAACTAGAGTGCCAGTTACTGTCGACATTCGACAGTTTTTCTAGTTTTAGAAGCCTTGGAGAGGTTTTCTAACTTAACACGTAGCAAAACTTATACGGTACAAATTAACTAACCGGAAAATCTTCTGTTGGTCTTTGGAGGACCTCGGCAGGACTTGGAATTGACCCGATACATTCAAGTTTATCGATAAATTTCAATGATTTGATACATATCGATAGTTCGATGAATTTCAAGAACACTAAAATTCGATAACTCAACAAAATTCGTTAACTCGACCAATTTCGATAAATGTGAAATTCGATGGCTCGATAAATTTCGATAACTCAAAAATGTAAAAACTTTGGATACCTTTATAAATTTTTACTTTTGACATCTCCACATTTTTCGAAAGCTATCGAAAAATTTTGACATCTCATTACACTCTGTTAGCACGATAAAATTCGATAAGCAGTGATAAATCGATAAGCTTATATAATCTTGAAATTTCGATAAATCGATATATATTGAAAATTCCATAAACTTCGCTTCGTTGAACTAACCAATTTCAGTAGATCAATAATTATCGATAACTCTTTAAGTTGAAAGAACTCCATGCATTACGTCACCTCGATATATTTCGTTAAGTCTATAAATAATGATCATTCAATAAATATCGATAACTTGATACATTTCTTTAACTTGACAAATTTCGTTAATCTCACATGTTTTTATAGCTCGATAACTATCCGTAAATTTGGACAACTTAGTTTCTGTGTCTATAAATTTCGGCAACTCAGTAAACATTGATCGGTTTGAATAATTCGATACGGTGCGATAACTTAATAAGCATGGATAAATTTCGATAATTATAAACTTCGCTGATTCGATAAATTTCAGTAACCTTTATGGCTGATTTTATTTCGATTCCTATCGGAAAATTTCAGCTCAGTTAACCTAATTCTTATGTATTTCTCATTGTCTCCATTTTCGCCTTTATCTCAATTTTCGACTTTATCTCCACTTTTGCCTTTTTTGTCTTCATCGTTATCACTTGTTTCTTCATCTTCATATTTATCTTTATTTCAAAGTTTAATTTCAAATACGAAGTAAAACCAAATGCGAAACCGCTTAAATTGAATAGGTTGCAAAAACAACCATACACAAATATGGAAATTTTTAAACGACGATTTCAACCAATTTCGAAACTATAAAAACTCTCCTCATCTACAGAAAATTACTTTTCCAACGGTGTTTTTGGATTTGAAATCGGTAACTTTACCTTGGTCTTCATCTTTGTTTTTATCTTTCACATCTTTGCTTATATCCTTTTCTTTTTCTTCTCACGTAGATGAGATGAGGTGCGATGACGTGATAAGATGTGACGTGATTTTATGTGATGTGATAGGATGTCATGTCATGTGTTGTCAAATCCTGTGATGTCATGTCATATGATGTCATACCATACGATGTCATATCATGTGATGTCAAGTCATGTGATGTCATGCCATATAATGTGAGGTCACGTGATATCGTGTGATGTGATATCATATTATGTGATGTAATATCATGTTATGTCTCTTTATATCATGTGATAAAATGTGATGTGATGTCATGTAATGTGATCACATTCCATGTTCCGATTAGTATATCGATAACCCTGTTGGTAACTGTGTCGATAAAAATACCGATAACAATATCCATAAACATATAGAAAAATACAACGACTGTAAGATCGATTAATTCATCGATAAATATAACAGTCATCAGTATCGATTATTGTACATATCGTTAAAAATATAAATGACTAAATCGATAACAAAATCAATTATTTAATCGATTATTATACCTATAACAATATCCATTATTGTATCGATAACAATATCGATTATTATTATTGATTATTATATCGATTACAATAGCGGTTATTTAATCAATAACAGTATCGATAACAATATAGATTATTTTATCGATAGCAATATCGATAAAAATATCGAGTTTTATATCGATAACAATATCGATCTTCACCTCATCCTTTTCTTCATATTTATCTTTATTTTTGCATATTCCTCTCACCTTTACCTTAAAGTGTGTAAATTTACTTTGATCGTCGTTTTTTCCTGAACCTCTAGGCATCTTTGTTTTTGTTTTTATTCTCAAACCGTTAAACCGCTGAGTACCATTTCCATGTGCATTATTCCCCTCGAATTTTACGATTTACTCCCAACCAACTGCCGCTAAAAAAGTTTCACTTCATAAATTCAAGAAATGTTCTTACCATTTCAGTTACCCTAATTTTTATGTATCGGTCATTGTCTCCATTTTCGACTTTATCTTCACTTTTGCCTTCTTTTTTTTTGACTTCATCATTATCATTTATTTCTTCATCTTCATATTTATCTTTATTTCGAAGCTTAATTTCAAATGTGTAGTGAAGCAACAGGCGAAACATGTCAAATTGAACATGTTGCAGCAACATGTATACACAATTCGAAAATGTTTAAACGACGGTTTTGGCCGTAATTTTCAACCAATTGTGAAACCATAAAAACTCTGCTCAACTACGGAAAAATGCCTTCCAACGGTGTTCTTGGTTTTGAAATCGGTTCGGTAGAATCGCCAAACGAACGGAGACAATATTTATGTTAGCGTATTAATATATAGATGTTTGTACTTGTTTGAAAATAGGTACATATTTTTACACATTAGGAGTCTTCACACCGATCTTGGCACTCGGTAACTGGGTGTTCGTTAATTTTTTCCTATGTATTTGGTTTGTGTAAAATGTAACATCCAAACGAACTACATGGGGAAAAATTACCCAACTCCGAGCCACCGAGTATCAAGCTCGAGTGAGAAGACCACTTTTGTGTTATTGCTTTAACAAAATGGTTTTATTTATTTTTTAAGTTCATTTCAATTTCATACCATTTTAATCTTTCATTTTGCTCTAATTCTAGTTTTTTAATCTCGAAATCATTTTCAAGCTTTCGCCTCTCCATTTCTAATTTTTGCTTCTCAACCACTTTCGTCCATTCAAATTTTTGGATTTCCAATTGTACCTGCTTTTCTCGAAAATTTTTCTACGCTTAACTCTAGATGCAAACGTGGTAGCTGCAGATGAGGTGCTCGGTTCATCACTTGCCGGAAAGCTCTCGTCCTCTAAATCAGTCGCATCGAGTATACTGCAATCGAAAACATCGGTAGACGTGTCCATTACAACAACTTCAATTTCCTTCGATTTCGAAAAAATGTCGAAAAGTTGGTCCAAATGTGGACATTTTTTAAGCACTTTTTCTATACATAAACAAGAAATTTAAAGCTATTGTAATTAAAATCAAAGAACAGAATATGCGTACTTCTAATGGTAGTTAAATTTTCGTCATCCCCCAGTCCAGCGGCGGTAGAGTCGCTCCATCCATCGACGTTTTGCAAGGTGCCTTTTAGGTGGCGAGCTTTGCATTTTAGCATATTCCAAGTCGCATCGATTTTGGTTTCTTCCAACAATTTTTTGTCATACAGTTGGGCGGTTGGTTTCTGCAATTTCAAATATAAAAGTGGAAAAATAAACAAAAAGAAATAGACAACCTAAAGAATCGTACAACCATACCTCGATATTTCTGTGCCCCTGCATATAGCTCAATACCTTCTTCATTTCATCCTCTGTCCATTTTTTCACTTCGTTTTCTCTTTTGCGTTTCCGAACTTCATTTGACGCTGGAATAAAATGAAAATGTACAATTAAAATTGATTTTTATTTCCAACGAAGTATTTTTTACTTACTTGCACTCATTTAGGTTGTGAACTTGTAAACAAAAAACAGCTGTTAATACCAGAGCTACCTACATAAAATTCTTAATTTGATGATGCCAGTTCGCTTTTTTGTGCTGCCATCTAGTAAATTTGTAGTAGAGTCCGACCGATTCCATTTTTTTTTCAGGTACCGATGCCGATTAATCGGCTTATGGGAAAGAATCGGCCGATACNGCCGATTAATCGGCTTATGGGGAAAGAATCGGCCGATAGCGATGCCGATGCCAATTCCATAAAAAATTACAAATAAATGTATTAATTCATAAAATCAGTACATTTCCCGGCGTTAAAAAAACAAAGAAAAGAAATAATTGAATTAATTGGCTTGTTATGCAACATTACATACACATGTATGTACATCCATACATATGATGTGTAAAAATATATGTACATATATCACATTTATGTACATTACATAAACACTTTTTTATATGGTGCTAAGCAAAAAATATTTAGGAACATAAAATTTCATTTCGTTTTGTACTAAAATACACTATTTTGCACTCAGTGCATAAGAACTTATATGCTAGCTACGTATGTACATACGTATAGTGGTCCACAAAATAAAAGAGTTGCGATATTTTGACCGATTTTGTCAATTTTATTTAATGTTTATTATTTTTTTTTATAAAAGTCTAGCTGGTATACAACAAACACCATATAAATTCAGATTTCAAACTTTGTACAAAAATTAGAAAAATTCTGCTTATTTTCACCAAAATTTCAAACTTTTTAATCAGAATTTTGGTATGCAGTTTTGTAGACCATCTCATTGTAGTATAATGAAGTGCAAGTTTCAAGCTGCTATAAAATCTCGTTAATTTTTGGCAATGTTTTTTGCTGGCAGTGTTCTCCATAAAAATAATTTCTGTGAGCTGTCTGCAAATGTTTTTTTAAAGTTGGCTGTCGCTTCACCTGAACATTTGAAAAGAAATTCCAAAGAATCGGCGAAAAATGGCCGATGCCGATGCCGATGCCGATGCTCAATTTTGTGCCGATACTAGCCGATGCCGATGCCGATGCCGATTAATCGGTCGGACTCTAATTTGTAGTATTTTCCAACACTGACAATAAGCAGTTCATCACATAATCTGTAAACAAGGGTTTGGGTTGGTCAAAGTTGGTTATTTTCATTCAGTGTATTTTGTTATTGTTCATATAACCACATAACCCGATAACGTAATAACGAACCAAGCGTGAACAAAATAATTAAAAAATTTACATTTGTAAACTACGGGCAACTTCATCCCTCATTTCCCCTTCATCTACAATCGCCTGATGAATCGTCTGCAGCTCTCCAGTTCGTCTGCAGCTCTCCAGTTCCTGTATAGCGAAGTGCAATGATGCCGTACAATAAAACCATAGGAAATAACGCCATATGGCTTTATTTCACTTTACATTGAGAAATAAAGCCATATTTTTGCGTATTGTCTTATTTCTTACTGTGAAACAGTGATCGGACTTCTACCACATTGTGGTACATCTGCCACTTTTTTAGCATCTACCACATCTATCACTCAAGGTCTGAAATCTACCACATATTCGCGTTTTTGAGTAGTTTTATTTTTGCTTGACATAAGTAAACACATCCGAATGGGAGGATAAAATAAATTGTAAAATAGTAAATTGCCTCAGTAATCAATTTTTCGACAGAAAACGCGGTTTTATTGTGTTAAATTGCAAAATATGTGATTTATAAAAATAATTACTTAATTAATTGTACTACAGACATAGAGTCTATCCGACAAACTGCGGCAGAAAGAATTACAACGCAACGAGAAAAAGCAAAACAACGATTTGATCGTCAGCATACTAAGCCGAAAATATATAAGAAGGATGATATTGTATTAGCTGACAGCGAAGTGAGTAGTACTGGTGAACCACGTAAATTAGAGCCACGCTTCAAGGGGCCTTTTGTCGTTGCCAAAGTTCTCGGTAACGACCGCTATGTAATTGAAGACCTTCCTGGTTCTCGACGTTCACAAAAACGCTACTCTACCGTATTTTCGTCCGAAAAGCTAAAACCATTTAATTATACATTTCCTGACAACGATAACGACAGTCTGGTAAGCTCAGGCGACGACGAGATCTGATGGGGGTCGATCAGAGATGCACGGGACGAAAGAAGAAACGAAGAAATAGGCAGTCGGTCAATTGAGCTATGGCGACGCGCACGCATTATTTAAATTCGAATTCTTACTAAATACATTTACTTTACTTCAATTAAATATATACATTAAATGAATTCTATACTATTAAAACATTGGTGAAGTGTTTTCGTTTTCTTTACACAAGATAGAATCAATTCNTTACTAAATACATTTACTTTACTTCAATTAAATATATACATTAAATGAATTCTATACTATTAAAACATTGGTGAAGTGTTTTCGTTTTCTTTACACAAGATAGAATCAATTCAAAAACAATTCCTAATTTTTGCTTTAAGAAATTTCCGTTGGGATTCTCAATAAAAGCCGTTTAAAACTTATTAATCTTCCTACACTTCCCAGGCGCAGGCAAAGGCTTGGTACAATTTTTATGGTTAAATTCCTGAC